ATTAGTAATTCCTAATACTGTTATTATTGTACTGCAGGGAGAAGGTTCCACGAGTCCCAGAAACTTTACTCAAGAAAAGGAAAAGTCTTGAGAAGGTTAAAGCTGCCCGTGAGGCTGCCAAGGTTGCACAGAAAAAGGTAGGTTCCTTTCTTTTGGAATTGTCACAATGCAACAATGCAATTTTCAAAAGAAGCTTCACTGCTATCCTATAAAGATTATTTCTGAGATGCATTTGTGCTTTTTTTCAAAAATATCACAGGAAAACAATGTATTTTCAGACATAGTTCTGAAGCTTGTTTATATTTCCCCCTGAAAATACCATGTTTTCGTGTTTGTACATTAGTATCCAATGGAATATTAACATGTGAAATAGTAATAACAGTACATGTACTCCATTTATAATTACTTAATGAAAGGTTTTGATAATGGTGCATTTTTGTTAACTTGTAAACTTAGTTGTACACACTTTTAAACTTGATTTAGAATATTTTGCAATTTGCATAATACGATCACATGATATGGAGAGCAATATATAACCCAACGTGGCATCCGATGGGTTGGCCCCTATTGGCTCTGCCTCAAATGGCACAGGAGCTGAGTGTCTTGAACACATTTTCTTGATGTCTATTCCACTGTCATGACGTTGGAGATCAAATCCACCCCTAGAGATTTCTCTAGTTTGGTGTGGTGCATTGCATATTCCTTGTGCTTCCTAGAGTCACTCTGTGACAATGACTGGGGAGATAAACCATGCRATGAACAGTACTTATGCCACAATATATTTTTTTGAATTGATCCTCTAATCCATAAATCATTGTATATCCATATATATATGTACATTACATCTTTTTGAAATTTGAGTTGATGTTTTTAGGTTCAACACAAGAAAAGAAAGTTAATCTTCAAGAGGGCTGAGCAATATGTGAAGGAATATCGCCAGAAGGAACGCGATGAGATGCGAATGAAAAGGATTGCCAAAAAGCATGAAAACTTTTACGTTCCTCCTGAGGCTAATCTAGCTTTTGTCGTCAGGATCAGAGGGTAAGTATTCATGATGTTGTTTTGATTSAAAGTTTTCATTGGCTTGGWAGATACTTGAYGATMTGTTACCCAACGTGGCATCCAATRGGTTGGCCCCTATTGGCTCTGCCTCAAATGGCAMAGGAGCTGAGTGTCTTGAACACATTTTCTTGATGTCTATTCCACTGCCATGACGTTGGAGATYAAATCCACCCCTAGAGATTTCTCTAGTTTGGTGTGGTGCATTGCATATTCCTTGTGCTTCCTAGAGTCACTCTGTGACAATKACTGGGGAGATAAACCATGTGATGAACAGCATTTTTTYCTGAAWATRYAYRTATATATTTTTGATTAAAGCATTMAGTAAAATAGTRTATTTTGAATGGTTGCTTTTCAGTATCAATGGAGTAAGTCCCAAGGTCAGAAAGATCCTGCAGCTCCTTCGTCTTATTCAGATCAACAATGGAGTATTTATCCGTCTAAACAAGGCTTCATTGAACATGCTAAGGATAGTGCAGCCATACATTGCTTATGGGTAAGATGTCCTAACCAATAACATTGTAAAGCCTTTAAACTCTTTGACTCCTATGGCGCCCAAAACCTCCCGCCCGTAAGAAACGTTACTCTTGAGAAAAGTTGGTATCAACTTAAGCCCTAGGAATTGCCCTTTCTTTTGATGACAATACTTTAAAGGTTTATTAGATTTGATTTGCCGCATAAAGACATATCTAACTCATAATAGCAGATTGAGATACATCAACCTAGACAAATTTGACTTTGTTTGTCTGACAATGTTACAATGACAAGAAAAACTTTGCCATCAAAACAAAGGGAAAACTATGTGCAAGTCTGGCATTTGTTTTTGTAATGCTGAAAGTTCCTGCTTATGGCAAAAGTTGGTAAATAAACTCAAATTTTTCTAGAAATCTGCAGTTATGAGTTTAAATCTAACTTACAAACACGTTTTTGATTTATCTATCTATCTCCATCATGACTTTCTACTATTGCAGACACTATAGATTTGTTGAATGTATTTGGAATAGAATTGACTGTAGGTGCTTCATACTGAAGCTTCATCTTCCTAAACATTTCTGCTTGTCATTTTAGCTACCCCAACTTGAAAACAGTCCGTGAGCTTATCTAYAAGAGAGGCTATGGTAAAGTTGATGGCCAAAGAGTTGCTCTCTCAGATAATGCAATCATCGAGAAAGYWTTAGGGAAATGTGGTATCATYTGTGTCGAGGACCTTATCCATGAGATCTTTACAGTTGGAGAAAACTTCAAAGAGGCCAATAATTTCTTGTGGCCATTCAAGCTAAACACACCAACTGGGGGCTTCCGCAAGAAGACCACTCATTTCGTTGAAGGTGGTGACCATGGCAATCGGGAGGACAAGATTAATGCCTTGGTGCGCAAAATGAATTAGAGCCTGTAAAATCCTGAAATAAAAAAAGTTCCATCTACAGAAATCTTGTTTTATTGTTTTTCTTTTTTCCATGTTTCCATTCTCTGTTAGAAACGGCAAAGGGGGTTGTCGGGACATTACGAAGAATGTTTTGAATGTTGTGATAGTAATTCACTGAGCACTATCTCAGTATTTGAATCCACATTCAATTATCAAATTCTACAAGATCTAGACCGAGTGATTTCCAGACTTTTCACTGTGGAATGCTGCAGGAAAACTGTTGTTGCTATACAGATCTAGCTTTAGCCGATTTTTGGACGTCTAGTAAAGCAAACAAGATTTTTAAGTTGTATAACCGAAAAGCATGGATGTGAGGACCGGATGCACTATGATATAATATAGGGTCGACACGTGGGAAAGTGATTTTTCTGAATTTATTTCCAAGGGTCTTTCTCCTTGAATCAACCTCCGRATTCTATTCCTTTCCTTTATCTTTCATAACCGAAAAGCATCATGKGATTATTCAAATGTAAGGGGGAAGGCCAGCAAAGTATAACTTTGGATGTTGAGGTGGYCGCAACGAAAACCTTGATCGGTTTTCCCGCGAACTAGACCCTCAAAGTGGTTACTCTTGTTTATCATAAAGCGTGATAAGTGACTTCATGCACAGTCCGGGATCTAAAGGAAACGTTGACAGTGTCGGCTTTAACTTCCCCTTATCAACKTTGAACCAAAATAAGAGAATWTGCATTTCCGCAGGCCACGCMTACCGTTAATTTTTCTAAACCGGTTGAACGGCAATCTTAGACTTGTTTGCGCTGGACTTAAAAAAGTTAATCAAACTTTATTTCCACATCCGTTCAACATTTCTTTTGTTCTCGAAAATGTCGAATGATGCTGAAGACGTTTTTCACGGTCATTCCCACATTATTAGAGAGTTTAAGCATACGTTTTCGGCTAACGGCAGAGCCGCTGAAMCAATGACCTAAGAATTTCGTGCCTTACACTTTTCACGATTATGACAAACCAAAAATAATCCACTCTTGCGTTGTAACGGTTAACCATCAAAAAGCAGAGGGTCTCAATGGGGTGGTACGCATCACGACGCACGGCTAAAAATTTGGCGATTTCACGACTCACGACTAATTTTTTCGATTCACGGTTAATTAGATTACTTTTAGAAATTTTTGAATTACGTTCATTGCTTTTTTTCTTTTTTCGTATGAATAGACTGCGTGACTTATTCGTACGGATATGGATTTTTCCATTTCAAATAAGCCGAAATGCGACTATTTCCACTA